GAAAAAATCAAAGAACAACATTGTTTATAAAATTAATTAATGTTTTGCTAAAATGAAGTGTATAAAAATATGTAGAGTGTATTTTACTAACGGTGCTGGAATACAAGAAAAATGGCATTGGCAGATTTATACACAGTTTTTATATTGACGGAATCCATATTTAAGTTTTAGATAACACATGGATGCAGATAGCCTTTGTGATCAATATTATTTTCAAGTTAATGGTGAAACACTATACATTGATTTTGATTGATACATAGTGAAAGTTATATATTTTATATTTTTATGAAAGTATATTCAACAAAGAACATTTTCATATACTATATCATTTTTATTTTAAACTTTGTAAAAAATTTCTTGTAAAAGTATATCATTGGTCAAAGTTTAACTTGATTGACCAAAAAAATCAAAGATTGCAAGATTTTAAAGAGCGGATGGAGTATATAAAATAAAAATACTTTTTTGAATAGTGTTCCCTCTCAAATATTTCTATTGTGGGGTGTCTTGAGGGTCTTCCACCATAAGCTAAATATGAGCTAATGAGTAGAAGAGCAGGAGAAAAATAAAAGGACATAAAGGTGTGATGGAGGCAAGAAGAGAAGTGGAAATGAAGGATCGCACGAGGGATGTGCCTTTGACCATGAAACTATTGGGTTATTTAAGTTGACTATTAAAGGTCTTCTAATAATGCAAATAAATATTTAAATATGCATAATAACTTCATTCAAAATAAGTGTTTCTTATCTAATTCTACTCAGGTTGATCAAGACATAAAATAGTAATACACAAATTATGTGACATAGATTTGTGTAGGTGAGCGAGTAATAATAAGAATCACAAATTATCTACTTTATAAAGAAAGTAACAAACTTTTCAAAACTACAAAAACAAAGTTGACAAAATTTCAAGAGGCGCAAGTATTATTGTTATTACGACTATATTATTTATTGGAGTGTTAAAAGCTCTTACATTTATAGAAGTCCATTTGGTAATTGTAATTTGTACTTAGAGCCTGTTTAGTAACACTGAAAATTATTTAAAATATATTTTGTCAATAAAATAAGAAAAAATTATACTACCTCCGTTCTCTTTTAATTGCAACACTGGACTTTTTGCACGATTCACATATTCTACTTTGACTATATTTTATTTATTAATGTATTATAAATTAATTTTTTTAAAAATATTGTTAAATTTTTCTCACTCTAAATTTTCAAAATATGAATTTTTTACTAATAAGAAATAAAATAGATAGTATACTAATGGTCAAACTTGTGCATTGGCAAATGTGAAACGTTGACTGTTGCAATTAAAAAAGAATGAAGGAAGTATGAAAAAATAGCTAAATGATCATCTAGAGTAACCTCAACCAATACAGCCACAAAATCAATTTTAACCTTACCTTTTCTTATTATTACACAATCCAGCGCGCGAAATCAAAATTTACGTATTTGGGAAAAAGTTGGCTGATAAGTCTGATAAGCCGAAATACAGAATTATCAAACGGGCATTTAATCTCTTAAATGTGATGAAATTATAGATATTGTGGTTGAAATGTCTAAAGTGTATCATATGCCTGAATTGCATAAGCCATTGAAATACATTTCAGTTTGTTCCACTTACAAACATATTATAACTCAGTTAATACATCTTTGATGTTTATCTCAATGACTAATAAATACATGAGGGCAAACTAATAGGCACCATCAATTAAACTTGGATTTATGACAACACATATTTTAGTTTTTTTGGAAGAATGTGACTTATATTAATAAGAAAGAACGTAAGCAGGGTACAAACGGACAAAGAGCCCACTGTCACCTCGAAAGAAGCAACCAGATTTGTTGATCCTGAATTGGGCTTACTTGAGCCAATGACTGGCAAACTAGACTCCCCATCACCAGTCTTATGTTCTAGAGTTTTAACGTTATTGAAAACAAAAACAAACAAAACCACATGTAGTTTGTAACAAAAACCAAAAATAAAAATAGCAAAATTAAAGTTTAAATGTTCCTCAACCAGCAGAAAGTACCAGATCTTCATGGTTTTGGCAGACCTGGTTGTTCCATCCCGCCTCTTCCCCGTTTTTTGCCCAGCCGAGAGCCATACAATCCCCGCCTGTGGCCTCGGATCTGCCTTCAACGTCATCATCCAGGAGCAATTCATCCGCCTCTGGACCCAATCCCAGCCCATCGTACCGATCGATAAGCTTCTCCATCTGTCTGCTTCCCTCCGTCGATGGATCAACACCATATTTCTCTTGCCGTCCCTCGGTATCTTGCATTTGGGATCTACCTGATGCCATGCTGAGCTGCTAGTTGCCGGAGAATACCACACTCAAATGGCAGAGAAGTTTATCCGCACCAAATCAGCGGAAACCCTAAGAAGGGAAAGGCCACAAGTTAATTTTTACATAAATTAGTTGAATCAGATGAAATCATGATTTAAATGACTAAATGATGAACAAAATTAAAACAGAATGCAAAGCTATATGACAAAATTAAAACAGTGCACTTCAATCAAACCAACTAGAAAAGTAAATACAATTCAATCATTTAATTTGAGTATTGCATACTTTGGCCGAGATGTCAAAAGATATGGAGTCTCGTCACATTAGGAAATACGACTTAATCCCTGCAGATAAACAAGGCAATCCTTCTAGCGTTGGTTGTGAAAGAAGCTAGTTCACACTCCAATACAAATGTACTTGAAAACATATTACAAGGTACAAACACTAGAGGGCAGTCTGAGTCTAATGGTGAGCGTGACGATGAAGATGATGACATTGAGATAAGTTGGTCTCTTAGGGAGAATTTTGTTTATCTATCAAAGAAGCAGAAGAAGGGAGAGTTGATACAATCTACTACCCCATCCAAGATGAAAATGAAAGAGCGAGAAGCATATGCTCAGAGCTTATGTTTATGGATGTATAGAAATTGCATCCCATTTAATACGATTCATAACCCATTGTTTAAAGAAACACTAAAAGAGATATGTATGTTTGGGGCTGGGTTTAAAGTGCTTACATATCAAGAGGTGAGGGCAAACATTGGCGTAAAGAGGTGAAGAAAAGAGATGTAGTGGTAAGGGAAAAAAAACTGGGAGATGGATGGGTGCACCATAATGTCTCATGGTTGGCAAGATAAAACACACAGAAATTTTGTAAACTTTTGTATCAACTCTATCAAGGGGAATTTTTTCATGTAATTCATTGATGTTGTCATCTTATAAGAAGACTGATGAAGCTCATTTGAAATTGTTTGATGAACGGATTCAATAAATCGGTCCAAAAAGTGTCATACATGTTGTGATATGTTAAAAAATTATGGGTTAGCAAATGTGAAGATTGAACAAAGGGACCCGCATATCTTCACAAATGATTGTGCTACACACTCTTTTGATCGTACTCTTGAAGATATTTTCAAGAAGATTATTCCAATAGTAGCAAAAACAGTCAAGACAGTCCAATGTATTTTTTTTGGGCAAAACTTTCTAATCTATTATAGTATCTCTTCTTTTAAGGCCAACATCCTTGAACTGGATGAGATTCGAACTTGTGACTTCCTCTTTGGAAGTGTCACAGTGAAGTCATCAGACCATAAGGTACTTGGCCACGGTCCAATGTATTATTACCTACGTTTATAATCACACTCTTGTGTTTTTTTACATGATGAAAGAATTCACTAACAGGGGTGTTGGTGAAACCAACGGTGACAAGATTTGCAACTAACTTACTGACTCTACTTCAAGGCAGATGATTGCTTCACCAAAGTGGTATGAAGTTTACCGCCAAACATTTTGAGGAAATGTTGCTTTTGTGATGAAGGTTTATTTACCTCTTGTGAAGGTTTTAAGAATTGCATACGAAGATTTACCTCCATAGGATTCATTTTTATGAAGCTATGGAAAAAGCAAAACTTGGAATTAAAAACAAATTTGGAGGGAGAGGAGAAATGCAAGCCCTATGAGCAATTGTCGATAAGAACATTCACTCTCCGTTACATGCCGCTAGATATCATCAAAATCCGTAATTCATCTATCCCAATTCGCGGCAAGTTTTCGATGATGCGAAAGTATATGAAAAATTTATCAAGTGTGTGGAGAAGATGTTACTCACGGAGTTGGTGAATGTGTAAGAGGCAACTTTAGACTAAGATGATAATCAACAACTTACAAAAACAAATCCTTGGTAAACAATAGAAACTTAATTAGGTATTCAAGTTTAATAAAATTAATACTACGTAATAATGCTGATTTTGCGAAATAAGCATGAAACTTAATGTGTTTAACGAAATTTGGTAAATGTAACTGATTGGTGGCTTTCAAATGGCTCTTGTTCTCCCTCTTTATAACATCTTGCCGTTTGGATCTTCAGTTTAACATGTACGCATGTAATGCATCCGGATGTGAAAAAGATGGGAGTGTGTTTGAAAATGTAAATTCTCAACCAAGTGTATTTATTTCTATAAAAAATAATTGATTAACTAATTTAAATCTCATTTGGTAACACTGAAATTTAATAAAATTTATGAATTTCTGGTTGAAGTAGTTGTATTGGCTGATTCTGCTGATTTATGAAAAAATATATTTAAAATATATTTTCCTAATAAAATAAAGAAAAATTTTTATAAAAAATAGCTAAAATGATCATCTGCAGTAACTTCAGCCAATACAGTCAGAAAAGTCAATACAACCAGAAAAGTAACTAACATTTTTCTTATTATTACACAATTCAGCGCGTGAAATAAAAAATCATGTATTTAGTTAAAAGGTTGGCTGATAAAATGATTAGCCGAAAAAAGAGTTTACCAAATGGGCTCTTATTATCTCTAAATTTCAGGTCCAAGAAAAGAACAAAGTTGCACTCGAAAAAAATGAATGACCACCAAATTTTAAGATCCATTTTTTAATTTAAGAAAATGAAAGTATGTCTAGATGACATTGAGGAATGCAATTAATGGATTGATGATGCCGTAAACCAAGCAAAAGTAAAGAGAATGGGGAAATCTGAAGCTCTAACCATCCTGTTAACATACGATGCATTAAAAAATCGAACTTGCATCACTCAAAAATCAAACTTTAACCTCTTGACCAATCTAATTAACTCGCATCACTCAAAAATAAAATCTAATTAACTCTCATCGAAGTGTCAATGTCGATGAAAAAAATCAGAGTAATACTATCTAATTAAATCTGAAAAATGTAATACTATCTAATTAAATCAGAGTAATACTATCTAGTTGTAGAGGGAAAGTGTAACTATTTAAGAAGCAGAGTAATACTATCTAATTAAATCTGAAAAATGTCAATACTTTCGTCAGAAGAACTCATGAGCGATCACCGGTATGATTTCTGGTACCTTGCACGAGCACCGGGACCTCCGGCCTTCTTCGGTTCAGACCGCCTTGGATCGGCCACCAGCAATGTTCTGTCATATCCAACAAGGACATCCTTGATCTCCTTCTTCGATTGCTCATCCATGTACTTCTGGTAGAATGAGACGAGCGCTTTTGAAATTGATTGCCGGATGGCGTAGATCTGGGAAGTTTGACCTCCGCCTTTGACGCGGATGCGTATGTCGACTCCGGCGAAACGGTTCCGTCCTAGGAGGAGAATGGGCTCGAGAGCCTTGTAACGGAGTGTATCAGGCTGGATCAACTCGATTGGAGAGCCGTTGATCTTGATTAGTCCACGGCCGCGTTTGCACTGAGACACGGCAACCGCCGTCTTTTTACGACCGTAGCATTGAACGACTTCAATCGGCGCCGCCTCCATTCTGGTGGTTCTTCTCTGCCGCGGGATAGAAAAACCCTAGTCTTCAGCCTGCGTAAAGGGTAATCTCAAACTTCGTTCTGCAGGGTTTAGGAGGTATTCAAATATTTAAACATACGTAAATCAATTAAGAGATAATTATCCTAGATATGACTAAAACTTTCTCACTTTCTCAATATATGACTTAACAAGTTTTTTTACGAAAATAATATTAAAAATCATAATATTCAATTAAAATTCGTAATTAATAAATAAATAAATAATTTATGTGGACACATATACCCTTTAGATTATATAACCCTAAGATCCTACTTTTTTCTTCAACCCTAGCCTCCCTTCTCACCCCTCAATAGATCCACCCGTAGCCGCACGCTACTGCTACCGCCGCCCCACGCTACTGCCGCCGCCACCCCATGCCCCGCCATCTGCCGCTGCCCCCATTGGCCGTCGTCCGCCGTCGTCTAAGAGAACGATAGCTGCAGCCAGTCGCTTGATTGTCCGGCCACCCTAGCCCCATGCCTCCTCGCCGCATGCAGCCACCGCCCAGACCGAAGCCACCAGCCCCCGCCGTCGTCCCTAGACAAGTGCGCCACCGCCGTCCCTAGACAAGGTCGCCGCCGCCATCCCTAGACAAGGTCGCCGCCGTCGTACCGATCTATGCGCACTACCACATCCCGATCCATGTGATCTGCTGCCCAGCCAGCCGCCAAGCCAATCGCCTTTGTCCCATGCGCCACCTTAACCATTGGAGGTTTGCCAAAAACCTAACAAGGAGGGGGAGTGCCGCGTACGTAGGTCATGTTATTATTGAAGATGGGCTTGTTATTATTATGGGCCTGTTATGTGAAGAGATTTTTGTTAGACACGTAGTAGGCCACTGCTTTAGATTTGCTACTAGGTGGCCCTCCATATATTCACATTTTTGCTTTTCTATTTTTGAAATTAGGAGTCTAAAATTAGGGTTTGTGGGCATTAAATATGCGCAATGAATATGGGCAGTGAAATCATAATAGATATTGTTGTATATTGTGGGTGAATTTAGGGTTTGTGGGCATTAAATATAAGCATTGGATATTGGCAGTGAACATGATCGTGAATATGACAATATATATGTTATACATGTCAGTAAATGAATGCTGAAGTTTATTGTGTAGTGATTATGATCGATAGTGCAGTAAAACATAACAGTAATTTCACCATGAAACACAATATACTTAATGAGACGTAAAATAATAAAATTATAAAAACTAAAAAAAAAACAAATTCCTCAAGTGAATGAGAAGAGAATTAATTTTGCGGAAGTGCAGTGATTATTACCGGATGTGCAGTAAAGACGTGCATTAATTTTGTGCATTAACGGCAATATAAAATGAAATAATTTTAATTGGACGAAATTAGTGAAAAATGCACATATATTAAATAAGGGTATTTTTGTCATTCAACATTTAAATATAAACGAATTTTCTATATGTTTTTGAATTTTCGGTCATACAAAGGTATAAAAACTAGTTAGGTCATAGATTGAGAAACTCGTTGAGTTTTAGTCATATCCCGATAAATTAAAGCTCTTATTGGGCTTGTCTTCCGTCATACCCTATAATATTGGAAAATATCTACTTAGTATGTTGTAAAAACCGGACCGGTGAGCGATCCGGCCGAGCGACTGGGTCACGGGTCAACCCGGACCCGGCGGGTCAACCCGGTCAACGCCGGGAAAACCCGGTCAACACATATATTTATACATATATATAAGGTTAAATTCATAAATAGAAAAATCTTAATCCTTCATAATTTAATTATGCTAATACAATATAATCCAATTAAAAAATCATTATTATAGAGTTGATTTTAAGTCTTTTAACAAAATTGGACAATAAATATAGCATGGCATCAATTATAAAATCTAAAAAATATTATAGAAATATATATTCACTTATATAATTGTAATATGACATAAGTAGAACATAACTGGAAGTATAACGTTGCGTTGCATAATTATTGTTATTATTAATGGTTTAATTTACTAATTAATTGGTCAAAAAAGTTAACTAATTGATTAATGCTTAAGTGCAAAGTATAATGGTACGTCTTACTGAGTATAATAATACCAAATTAAAATTGCAAAAATTAACGACACATTCCGGTTGTAGACCGGTTGAGAGGCTATATTTTATCCCGGAGGTTGTGAGATCGAATCACGCGTGCAACAAGTCTTGCCAAAGTCCGGGTTTTTGCTAATTTCCGAGTATGGTTCTGGGTCCGTCCCGGTTCGATCCGAGTCACCGATTTTTTTCCGGGTTTTAACACTTTAGCGGGTTGAAGGTCAACCGGATCGGATTTGGAGCCGGGTGGGCGGGTTCCGGGTCGACCCGTCCGGTCCGGTTCGGGTCTTACAATAGAGGAAAATATCACAAATCTATACTAATATAAAAAGGGAAACCAAAAGAATAAGCGTTTCCACCCCGAAAGTAACGACCGATCAATCATGCAGGCATTTCCACCCCGAAAGTAACGACCGATCAATCATACAGAGCAACGTAACCAAACGTAACCAAACATATGATCGTGTTTAATCGTTCATTAGAGGGTTCCGACCCACAAACTCCCATTGAAATCACTTAAATCAACTCTCAAATAACATCTTTAATCATATTTCATCATGTGGCCATGATTCCATGAAAAGAAAAGTGACTGAAAATAAGAAAAACGGGTGAAAAAAATATGAGCAAACAAAATAAAAACTGTAATAATTCGCCTACGAACACTTTCCAGATAATGCTATCATCGTTAGAAATAATCCAGGTGACACTACATAAAGCAAATGTTAAAGCAAATGTTTCAAATAATGAGGCCACCTTTCTTTTCAATTGCAGTGTATATTTTTCTTTGTTATCACATCACGACAATGAACTTGATCGAGAAGGCCACGTACTGGCATGGATCGGATTGTGAACAGCGAGAGAAGCCACGATGACTCCAGTGTGGTAACGTGGTTGCGAACAGGGGCGAGAAAAGTCCTCACTCCTGGAGCTGTGGCTCAGTCAAGTAATTTGTTCTTTTTTAATTCTTCATAACTTCAGTTTAGGCTTGAATACAAATTAAAGATGTGCATGGCATGTGTAAACGGCAAATCTCTTGGCCTACGCAAGTACGCATTATAAGATCTAAACAAAATTTATACGGAGAACATTTATAATGATCGGGACAATCATTTTTAGATGGTAAGGTGTTTACTCTTATGTGGCTCTTCATATTCAAGAAATATAATCATCAATTATGTTGCATGAATATGATTCCAACATCTTTATAGGATTCCTATTTGGATATAATGGATTTAAAACAAAAAACTTTTGTGTTATTGTTTGACAAGTTTGGAAGTTGAATCACATATATACGATAAAAAACTTTATTGTTTTATTGTCAGCAACTCTTAAAGGAGTTTTAAATACTACCTCGGTCCCCTTTTTATTTAGTCATCTTTGACTTTTTCAATCAAAGGTGATAAACTTTGATTCATTATTTTAACTAATATATTTGTTTGAAACTTAATAAATTTATACTTTATATAGTATTTTAAACAAAGAACATTTTCATATAATTTTCTTATTATCAATATTACCGTGTATCAATATATAATCTTTCTAACTTGAACAAGTTTAACTTGAAAAAAGGCGTTTGGCTTAAAAAAAAGGATGGAGGAGTAATTTTTTAGTATTTTTTCCAGTTAATAATCAATTGATTGATACGAGTATCTTTTTAGATAGGAAAACATATACTCCGTATACACGTACTAACCACACACAATTGCTTCTTTGAAAATGATTGTTGTTTTAACTGTGAAAATTTTCTAAATGCCCGCAACGAATATGGAGAGATGTTAAATTTGAAATAAATTCTTTTTTTAAATTTATTTAGATAAAGTAAAACTCCTACCGTAATGCAATCCAGGATGCTAAATAATTTCGAGTCATTGAGATATGAGATTTTTAAATTCTGATTGTGATTAAATGAAAAATTGGATGCACTTTTAACATATATGATACGTATATAGGTTGACGCTGTCCCGCCGATAAATCAGCAAAACATATAATGTATCCGTAAGGTTTTGAACGGTTCGGTTCAGTACGGTTCTAAGGTTGGTATCAAGCCACTCACTACCATGTCATTAATTGTTCACAAGTATTTCTATTAGTTATTAGTTGTTCTTGATCCTTTAATTGGAATAAAAAAGTTATTTATTACTTACTGTGCTTTTCTTGAGTAGTTTGTGAAATTTGTCTGCCCGTTCATCCTTTAATGCGTAGCATTTTTTTTCTGTATGCATGTATTTAGCATTTCATATAACAATTTATATGAGGTATGCATGTGTCTCCTCTTATTATATACAAGTATATCAAAACATTTATTTAAAATTTTGTTAGAATAGATATATCTTACACTCATATTTGAATATGTATTTATTGTAATGTATCGTATGACAAAAATATTATTGTCCCGTGCATCGCACGGGTACGATACTAGTGAACTAAAAAGGGGAAGTTATATCACTTTTATCTCTTTTCAATTTTTCTTTCAAAAATAGATTAGTTAACTTTTTCTTTCACAAATGAACCATGCGTCCCTATGGCGTATACCCATTCACTGTAATTCAAAGAAGTGCACGTGAAGCGCACAGGAAGATCCCACTTTAGCATGATACTACGTACGGCGCATAAACTAAGATCCCATGTTGACATTTTTTCTTCTTTTTTTAAATAGCTCGCAGAAGAACACGTTATTTCTCAAATTAAGGCATATACTCAGAAGTGGGCGTGTACACTGATGAAACTGAAATCAAGGAAAATCGATGGTCTCCTATTCCAAGAATAATTAATTCCTTCTAATTTCAGGTTTCATAACTCAGGCTGGCAGATGGTTAAATGGAGAAGGCCTATTAACAACTTCAAACTGAATGTTGATGCCTTGTTTTTACCTGGTTCGGCGAAAGGAGGTGCCATCCTTCGAAATCGTGAGTGGGAGCTGGTCTGGGCTACTTGCTTCAAATTGACTGCTGCAACAAGTGAAGACGCAGAACTTCAAATG